AATTTTCAAGAGTCTTATCTACCTACTGAGGTGAGGTGGGAGAGATTTTGCGTTTGTGCACCATATAGCGCGCAGCATAAAGGCTTCATGATCTCTACACATCTCCTTTCAAGATCCGTGTTGTCTCCGACCGTCCCGCACTTTGCAGCACAAAATAATGCAAACAAAACGCGATGAAATTGTTCTAAGTATCCATCAGAGCCTGTTGACTGTAGGCGTGAGCACACAGCCTCTCTCCTAGCAGCAACAGGCAGTGCACCGTGCGCACTCAGTGACGCACAACACTTGTGGCTGGTGTTTTAAACTTCATGAATAACAGATGGTCTCCCTCTGCGCAATCAGCACTCCTTGCGTATACCTTTATCTTCTGAGATGCTTCAGATGATCTTCTTTAAAGGAGTCACAAACAGGATATTGAAATATCGCTGGCAGTGTGTGTACTCTAACACTTCTTTAACCCTTAGCTGTTATGTCAGGCGACTTCAGCACCGTCTCCTTAAGATGAGTTTTCAGTGTCTGTTTTGTTGGATATATCATATTTAGGCAGATCAACTACTATCCACTCATAAAAAGATCTCAAATCATCCTCATAGTGCACCAGAGAGAAAAGAAATGTACAATGCTGTATGACTGTGCTAGAATGGCTGTGCCTGTCCCCTTTACTGTCAGACCAACATTCACAACTAACAGGCTGAGATCCCCTCTAGGCACCAAACTGTTCACATCAGATAAACCTCCTTCATCTGCTTAGCCTTCAGTGCTATAGTAAAGTCTACGTGGGTTACATTTACATGTTTTCCATGGCAGATCAAATCCAATCAATCCAGCTTTTCCACAGACAACTATATTTCTCAAGGCACAAAGGCAGATGCACAGAGTCATTTTAGTCAGTGAAACAACACATTTAAAGCTCTGGGTCCCAGTCAAGTGGTTTAGAGTTTGTTTAAACATACATTTTAACTTTAGCTTTATTTCAACTCTCTACAACAAAAATTCTGAAATTAATGTTGTCATTTGAACATAAAATGCTAGATCTAAATATGAAAGCTCAGTCATAAGGCATTTTTGTTGTAGTGCTCTAGACTATACTGCCATATAAGATTGTATATACTCATGTTGCCAGGTGCATTACGATGTAGCACAAGACAGCAGGACCACAGATATACACACACAAAAAGCAGTACAAAAGATACAAAACAAATGAAATGTGTAGACCATTAAATTCACATTCTCATCTTTAAGTGTTTTTCTTACACTGTTTCCATGATGCTCTATAGTGTGGTTTAGAGTGCAAGTATGTTTGAGTAATCCATAGCTTTGTGTGCTGCAGGAATAATATCTAAATTACCCCAAATTGAAATTTACCAGATGTTAAAATGATTGATGTAACAAGGGATTTTATTATGTGTTAGGCCCAACTTATGTCAGCAAATGAGATTTTTCTTCGGTTTGTCTCTATCTTGCCTGTTAATGGTGATTGAAACTCATATCAGTCACAACAAAGTTTTGTCCCCAGGGATATGTAAATTCTGCCAAAAGCATTATGATGGAGATTGATGGAGTGTTTGTGTGCAAGGGATGAAAACAGAGCTACTCTATATTCAGTGACTGGCGTTCCAACATGAGTAACAAGGTACATGGCACCAAGTGTTTACGGACCTTTGTAGTCACAGGAACAGGTATAACTACAATGGCCTGCTAGCTCTCAACTCTAACTCAGTGTTGTCACACAAACTAGCCTACTTGGTTAGGTTTAGTCACAAAAACTACTTGTTTAGGGTTAGGGAAAAACACTTGGTCATGTTTGGGAACAAAATCACATTGTTACATTTAGGAATAAAAACTCAAGCTACATGTTGGAATTGAACTTAGTTCCCCTTGAGGGAAAGTTGCGAACTTTGTGCCTATGTTATTCCTTTCCTCGTGTTGTAACTAATACAGTCACTAGATGTTGCCAAACTATAATGCTATATAATAGTTCATCGTGACAGGAGGACAGCCTATTTTTTTATTCGATGAACTGAAAGAAAATATTTATTTAAAGACTTCAGTGTAAATAATATTGAAACTATATTTTCCCTAGTGAGTTAGTCAGTTAACTGAAAGGGAAAAAATCTAATTACAGACAAAAAAAATCTCAAGTATATGGCACCCACTTTGAATGTCATCACACCATTAAAATCTATTATCATTGTTACTGGGACTATGCAAAGATGCATATGGTGATGCAATATATTCAGTGATGAACCAATGGGAAATCAAAAGTCCCTAAATGAAAAATCCAGTTTGCATAAATAATGAAGGAGGAATACAGGGAGTTGCATAAAAATTCATCCATAAATCATCTTATAAATGCATAAAACTCAAGTAAGATTTTGAGAAAAAATGTAAGACCAGATTTTAAGACCGTTTTAGGTTATGAAACTGTGGGTCCCTAACTTTTCTAGTTCTTTTAGTTGCGTTGATAACATCTGCAGATCCACACTGTAGCTCAGAGATAGACACAGTGACATATAATCTGTCTCACAGTAAGTCTGTTCAAAAATCTAGAGATGTTTTGATGGAAATATTAAGTTAAACTGCCTGAGGAATACAGCAAAAAGATGTTCTTGGAAGTTTGATGGACACCGCGCCGAGTGAAAAACAAAAAAAATATGCTTTTGTGATTGACAGACATTGTTTACAATATGACAAGGACAAGTTGAGATGTAATGCATTTGTAAAAGCTGTCAAAAAGGTTTATTTTAAAGTTGTTGCTCTTTTTCTTTTTTTTATCTAGGGTGACTTTGAAAGAGGCATCTGATATTCAGCTGCTGATTACGAAAACCTCACTCAGTGATTTAAATAATTTAATGCTTATAACAAAGGAAGAACTTTGATTTATTTGAGACAGATAGAAAGAAAGTGTGACAACCAGTCAGAATCGATGTTATGGTATAAAATGAAGTTATGGTGCCAGCAGTTTAGACACAGTTTCTCTTATGTCATATTGTGAAACAATTAGAGCAGCGGTTAGAGGAATATAGCTTCAGCTACTGTATCATCAGTTCTACTCACAGCTGCCTCAGTGATGCTTTGCCTGGCTAGGGGCAATCTACTTTGATCAATTCCAAATGTAACCAGGGACGGCAATTTATTTGCTAATGAAAGACCATTGCTTCTCAGTTGTTTCCTAATTAGTTCTTACCTCATACACTGACAGCTGAACATTATGTTCCAGAGGGGAAAAGGGATGATGTGAGAGCTTGATTTTGTTGCTTGTTGCACTTTTGTGTACACTATAGACTGACAACAGACTGTCACACACTAATCAGATAAAGGTTATCAGAGGGCGTGTTTGTGCTGCAAAAAAAAAAAAAAAAAAGGCATGAATTCACTCAAGACAGTTTTGTCACTGTAGCCTGACCTAAAATGAGCAGTGACAAAGTATTCTACATGCAGATGGACAAAGCTTTTGTTGCACTAAAGGTACAGTACACCTACATGTACAAGCAGGTCCAGACTGAGCCATAATAACACTCTTGTCAGCGAATAACCTCACACGTTTGCTCCACATGCAACATTAATGTACTATGACCTGTGAGACCTGGGGGAGAGGGGTCAGCAGGGTGTTGGCAGTTTTTTCAACACAGCTACATTAAATGCAAAACCCAAGGCAGTTTATAGAGTTTTTACACCAGACAAGCCCCATCAGGCGATGCTTGAATAACAACTTGACATTCCTTTCTTGAACATCCTTTATTAAAAGTGCTTAATGTTGGACTAAACCAGTCCTGCATGTCCTTTTATGAAGAATGCTCAAAGACAAATCTGTCCTTTGAGATATTTATTACAATCAATATTTAAGAAAAAATATTCAAGAAAAGCAATACAGAGCTCTGGATTCCGTTTCTATCTGAAGCCCTATCACACAGAGAGGTTAGTGCATAGCTGCTGCAGGAAGCCGGAACCACGAGTTTCCTCTGCATAGACAATTAATAATACAGTCAGGATGGTAGATCTGACGTCATCCGTGCTGTCCTTCATCCATTTCCTGTAAAGCCAAACAGTGAACCGGTGTTACTTACTTAATTATTCCTATAGCAGTGCTTTATCCTTCTATCTCACCCAGTTCACTAGTACTTCCCATTTTCTGCCTTTCACATATCTTAAGACAATCATTCACCTCTTCATTCATCAACCCTGGATTCTGTCTTTCCAGTATAATGCCTGGTATTGGAGACATGACAAAGACATGATGTATAACTCCGGTTCTTCTGCTGTAGAATGGGCCTGCTGTGATTCTTAGTTTCCTCTGATGGTCTTTTCCTCTGGGCTGGGCCTGATTTGACCACTCACTGTAGGAGGGCTGTTCTCAGGCCTGCTCCTCTTTAGAGGCCTAGGCCTTCTGAAGTCATCATCAGTGTCTGTTTCTCTTGTCTCTTTGACAAGTCCAAAATATTCTTCAAACTGCATTTCCCAGCTGCTTCAGGAAAATGTTAAGTCATTATTTAAAATATAGTATATAGTATATGCATGAAGTGTTTTTAAGTCTTTATTAGAAAAGAACGGGGGTGCGGTTACAAGTCACCAACAGGGGAAAGAAGTCTTTTCATGAGAATTGTAGACAATAACAAAGATAAAGAATACTGGCAGCATCGTTCTTGAAGACACTTTCTATATACTATAGCTGCAAGAAAACAATTTTACTGCTGGAGTTCATGTCTTCATCTGTAGTTAAAATAAAACCCTTTTACTTTGTGTTGGATGAATGTTGTTAATACTGTTCAATATCATGAAGCCCTCTGGGCTCTGAAATTCACTGAGAAAGAGCTCCTCAGGGAAATCAGCCCCATAGGCAGCAATTTCCCTAGGATAAATAACTAACATGCTCTCCATCACTTCACTGTGCTCAGTCTGCAAGACATTTTCATTGGCTATCACAGTGGGATTCATGGCAACACAGAATATGCAACATTAATATTAATACA